CGGGCGTTGGTTTCCGACGCCGAGTGCATCGCTCAACCTTGCACGATCGCGGCCTTGGAACATCGCCGATCTGTCGAGTGCGGCGGATTCTGGGCCAGTGGCGGCGGTCAGGCTTGACGCCGCCGCCCCGTCAACGCGGCGCGGCCCACGCGGCACGGCCCGAACCGCTCTTCGTCCGCTAAGAGAAAAGCCGCCGAAGGCCGGCAGAGGGCGGCGGGGGCCTCGCCGCAGCGCCCTCCGCCGCGCCTGGCGCCTCCAGACCTGCGGAGGAGGGAGGAGGGAGAAGGGAGGCCGGAGGGAAGAAGAGGAGGAGGAAGCAGGGAAGAAGAGGAGGAGGAGGAGGCAGGGAAAAGGAGGAGGAGGAGGAAGAGGAGAAGGAGTAGGAGCCAGGGAAAAGGAAGAGGAGGCAGGGAAAAGGAGGATGAGGAGGAGGAGGAGGAGGAGGAGGAGGAGGAGGAGGAAGGAGTAGGAGGCAGGGAAAAGGAGGAGGAGGAATAGAGAGAGAGAGAACAAAAAAAAAAAAAACGCACCATCGGCCCGGAGGCCGTCCCGTGCAGGGAGGCGCGCGGGGCCTCAGCCCCTCTGGCGGCGTGCGAGTCGATCTAGCGCTTCAGGGGCCCGACAGGGCGCCTGACCAGGTGGAGGAAGAGGAGGGAGGAGGGAGGAGGAGGAGGAGGAGGAGGAAGAAGAGGAGGAGGGAGAAGGAGGATGAGGAGGAGGAGGAGGAGGAGGAGGAGGACCGCGGGGCCAGCCTCGCGCTATAGCTGCAAACGCTCGCATGGTGCATGCTCTGGAAAACAACGGAAATTCCTGCACATGTGTGTTTTATCTGGAGGGAGCAGCTCAGGGTGGCAGATATCAGCCAACAGTCGGCGATGCGTCGCCCATAGATCGGCCACACGCCGCCGATAGCGAATCCGCACGCTCTTGGGCGAGGCGGGCCATCAGGCCCGTATCGGCGATCAATGGGCGGTTTGGGGGGGTCGCTGAATCTCCCTGGTCAGATCCTCCCCTAGCTCTGCTCCTAGGCAGTCGGATCACAACTCGGCTCCCCTGCGGGGCTGTTCGGGGCGATCTGGGCACCCCCGAAACGCCGTCGGCGAGGCGCAGCCGCTGGACCGGCATCCCGAGGCTGGAGAGCAGCCGAGAAAAAGACGAAAACGCCCGAGAGCCTCGGACCTCGAAAACCTCCCCCTCGGAGCCTATCCCCCACTACCGATGCACTTGACCCTTCCGTCCCGCCCACCTTCGAGGAAGGGAAACCCTCACCAGACCAAGGAGGAGGGGTGGTCTAGGCTCGGTCAGGGTGGCCCCGCGAGGAGAAAATGTCGAACCAATCCCCATTAGGGGCCTGTAAGCCGAGGCAGTGTGCCTGACGCAAATGGGTCCGCGGGAAAGCATGAGATAGTACTTGAAACAGTTGCTGCCTAGATGCAATACTTTGCTCGCCGGAAGCATGAGCTGCGCATGGATGCAATCGCATGGCATTTCACCAGCAATCGATGTTGTGCGCGCAATAGTCCGCGTCCCTCCGCAACACGTGCGTACTATTGCATACACTTCTAAACAATGAATGTTCGGGGAGCCGTAAGACTCAGGTACGGGGGACTCGGGTTGGCCTGACGGGGGGTATCATGAAAATGACGAGACCCAATCTGAAATTTGACGCGGGCTCTCGCTGCAAACATCCCACGAAAACCAGACCGTCAAAATCCAGGTCGCGCTCGTCAAAAAACTTCGGCGAACTCGAGTTCTGGCTTACTCGAGTCTTACGTTTCCCCGAAATGAGCGAGTGTACCACTCACCGCCGACCGACCTGCCCCAGACACTTCTAGAGACCTCCCAGATGGGGTACGAGCGTAGATGGGGTCCGAAGATCGCGCCGAATCGCCGATGTGTCGGCAACGTCGACAATGCACCGGCGCCGTCGGCGCGGAGAAACTCGGGCTCCACTTCGAGCCGCATCGCCGATGCATCGGCGATGCGGCGCGATCCTCCGACCCCAGCTGCTCGGACCCCACCGGGGAGCCCTAGATCCCAGGGCCAGGGCCAGGGCTACCTCCGCGCGCAACTGCTGCGCACAGACCGCCAAAAACTGCTGCATCCGTGGCAAACATACTGCAAGTACTGCTGCACCTACCCTGGACCCCCGTCTCGAGAATCTCCTGACCCGGGTCAATCCAGACCCGGGTCAATCAGGCCTTGCAGAATCCTGCAAGACCCTGCACCCAAACCCGCGCCAATGCGAAGGATCCTGCAAGGTCCTGCAGGAACCTGCACCCAGACCCGGGTCAATGCGACCCTGGCCCTGCAGGACCCTGCAAGATCGGGCGCTCTGGCTGACCCCCGTTTGCATTGACCCCCGTCTCAAGGCTCCCGATTCGTTTTCCCTTGCGGGGTTCTCGGCGGCTGGTGGCGGAAGTGGTCGTTTGCGCCAACCGGCCCACCCCCAGGACCCCCACAGTGTGCGAGAACAGCGAGACGCCTCTTCTGACGTTCGACGACGACCTCTCACCCTCCCCCCCTCCCTCCCTCCCTCCTCCTCTTCCTGCCCCCCCCCCCCTCAGGGCTCCCGACCGTCTGTGCTGCCCACTACTGCGGCTCACACTCCCTCCTCCCTGGGCCAGGGCTGCCCGAGGCGGAGCGGCCGACGGCGGGGCGGCCGCGGCGGAGCGGCCGCCCGGGGGGCGGCCGGCCGACAGCGAGGGGGGGCACGCCAGGGGAAAAAACAGCCAACAAGATGCGGAATGGGAGTGAGAAGTGCAAGAGAAAAATGCGGAAAAGAAGGGGAGCTGATTTGTATGCCGTGTCGTTACCCGAGGCCCAGGGGAGGCCTCGGGGAACATCAAGTGGCCCCCGCCGCCCAGGGGGGGGGGGGGGGCGGCGGGAAGACCACGCCCAGGTTGCTGCGCGACTGCCGCAGCGGCCCGCGCCCCGCCGCGTCCTGGCGAGGGCGCGCGCGCGCGCGCAGCGCGGCCGCCCTCACCGACGCCTGCGGGAGGGGAGGGGGCGGGGGAAGGGGGAGGAGGGGGTGGGTACGGGAAGGAGGAGGAGGAGGAGGGAGGAGGAGGAAGAAGAGGAGGAGGAGGAGGAGGAGGTACGGGGAGGAGGAGGAGGAGGAGGAGGGGAGGAGGAGGAGGCGGAGGAGGAGGAGGAGGAGGAGGAGGAGGGAGGGGAGGAGGAGAGGGGGACGGGGAGAAGGATGAGGAGGGCGCGCTCCATCGAGCGCCTCAACGATGGCAGTGATTCCAAGCGCTCTCGTGTGGCAGAGGGCGCATCCAGCGTCAGGCGCGTACATTTTGAAACAGTTGCTCGCACAGACCTTCAGGCAGATCTCAACGTGGCTGCTTAAATAATCAAGAGGCGACAATACAACCTCCTACGGAAGGCCAGATCCGCAGACGAGGGTGGGGGATCGAGAAATTAGCCTGGCGAAGGACCCAACCTTGTGGTGTTATGAATGCCGCAGTTGTGAGTCTCGTCTTCGATGGAACTCACGATGAGGCTACAAAACGTGTGAGGGGTGTGCCGGCCCCGGGCGGGGGGGGCGCATGTGTACCCTCCCACGGGGGCCTTCGGTGGAGCTCCCTATAGGGCCACGAAGCGTGTGAGGGGTGTGCCCTCCTCTTTCTCCTCCTTTTCCTCCTCCTCCTCCTCCTCCTCCTCCTCCTCCTCCTCCTCCTCCTCCTCCTCCTCCTCCTCCTCCTCCTCCTCCTCCTCCTCCTCCTCCTCGTGCTCGGTTTGGCGGATCCAACTCGCGGCCGCGGGGGACAATTCCGGCACCCCTGGAACGCAGCTCTTCACCCTGGATCGATCTCCGACGGCGCCGTGGCCCGAAAACGACCTCCAGATGCCGAAAACACAGAGAAACCTCCTCCCCTCCTCCCCGAGGGAGTCCCCCCTTTCCCTATTTCCGTCGCGCGTAGAAAGCCCTTGACCCCCTGTCCCACGGTGGCCCAAGCCCCCGGCGCCGCTGTCGTATGTCCAGTTCATTGCATCCTATTCCTCTCATGTTTTGTAGACGCGCCCTGACAGCCACGGCTTCGCCCTACGTTCGGTCCCAGCGGTTCTCCCTCGATCGAGCCGTCTGGAGGCCGCTTTGGGGCCCAGGGCTATCAGCAAAAAATGTCCAGAACTTAAAATAGTTTCCCTGGGATGGGGTTGAGAGGTCCAGGGGCCTTGCACCGTGGAGAGTTCCAGGGGCCTCGCGCCAGCGTCTCTTCCTCGATCTCCCCCCCAGAGCTTGTTATAAGAACCCAGGGCTATAAACACCACTACCGGGCTTCAACGCTGGCCGCTGGGAGTGGGACGCACGAGCATGAGGAAGCTGAAAGCCACGAAGTGTGTGGTGGGTGTGCCGAAGTGGGGCGGGGCCGCCATGCGGACCCTGCCTCTATGGCCTTGAGTGGAGCCCCCTATGAGGCCACGAACCTTCTGAGGGGTGTGCCGAAATGGGGCGGGGCCGCCATGCGGACCCTGCCTCTAGGGTCTTGAGTGGAGCCCCCTATGAGGCCACGAACCGTGTGAGGGGTGTGCCGACACGGGGCGGGGCCGCTATCTGGACCCTGCCTCTTGGGCCTTGGGTTGTGCTCCCAATGGGGCCACGACAGTGTGAGGGGTGTGCCGAAATTGGGCGGGGCCGCCGTGCGGACCCTGCCTCTAGGGCCCTGGGTGAGGCTCCCTATGGGGCCGCGATCCGTGTGAGGGATGTGCTGAAGTAATGCGGGCACGCCATGCGGACCCTGCCTCGAGGAACTTGGGTGGAGCTCCCTACGGGGCCACGAACCGCGTGAGGGATGTGCCGAAATGCATGGCGATGATGGTGATGGTGACGGCGAAGAGGACGACGATAATGGTGATGATGATGGTGCTGATGATGATGATGATGATGATGGCGATGATGATGATGATGATGATGATGATGATGATGATGATGATGATGATGATGATGATGATGATGATGATGATGATGATGATGATGATGATGATGACGGTGACGGTGACGGTGACGATGACGATGACTGCGATGATGGTTATCATGCAGATGATGCTGATGGTGATGATGATGCTGATGACGATGACGATGACGATGATGATGATGATGATGATGATGATGATGGTGATGATGATGATGAGGGTGATGAGACGATGGGACGACGATTGTGGTGATGATGATGACGACGACGATGTGAATACGAGGATGATGATGATGATGATGGTGATGATGATGATGATGATGTTGATGCTGATGCTGATGCTGATGCTGATGCTGATGCTGCTGATGCTGATGATGATGATGCTGATGCTGATGCTGATGCTGATGATGATGGTGGTGGTGATGATGATGATGATGATGATGACGATGATGATGCTGATGCTGATGCTGAGGAGGAGGAGGATCAGGATGAGGATGAGGATGAGGACGGAGGAGGGAGAAGGGAGAAAGGAGGAGGTGGAGGAGGAGAGGAGGTAGGAGACGTGGGGCACCGTCCCTTCTCCTTTGTCCTGCCTTCTCGTCCTCCTCCTCCTTTTCCTCCGCGTCCGTTGCAGTCCTCACTATTGTCGTCATCCTCTTCCTCGTCATGGACGTCGTCCTCATTGTTGTCCCGCCTCCTTCGCCTCCCCGTCCTGCTCATCCTCCCCCTCGTCGTCCCCCTCCTGACCTTCGTCTGCTGCTGCTGCTGCTACAGCAACTACTAGTCATGAAGATACCATTACTGCTACGACCACCAGTCCTACGACTACGGCGAGCCGACGGCGACGGCGACGGCGACAGCAACGGCAGAGGCGAGGACAACGAGGAGGACAATGACGACGAGAACGAGGAGCAGAAAGGACGAGAACGAGGAGCACAAGGAGCAGAGGACAATGACGACGAGAACGAGGAGCAGAACGACGAGAACGAGGAGCAGACAATGACGCCGAGAACGAGGAGAGCGAGGAGCAGACCTGCAGGACCCTCGGAGCCAGGCCAATTGCACAACACCTGAGGGCCACCGGCCCCGTCGTGAGCGACGGGCCGGGGGGTCCTGCGGGTTGTCCGAGGCGACACTGAGCCGGCGGATCTGGCTCACCTTCGGGAAGATCAATTGAATTGCCACTGCGCATGTGCTCATTGTTATTATGAAAATGTTTGAATGTACGGTTGCATATTCATGATTCTGCACAGAGCCTTTTTGTACTCGTGCATTGCCCACGGAGAAAGCCTTCAAGAAGAGGAGCACAGCCACCACCCTCGTCCTTGTCGTCCTCGCCACCGCCATCGTCGACGTAATAATCGACATCACCATCACCAGCACCATCATCATCACCACCACCATCATCATCACCAGCACCAACAACATCAGCAGCATCATCACCATCATCATCACCAACACCATCATCATCACCATCACCATCATCATCACCACCATGATAATCATCGTCACCACAACAATCACCATCATCAACAGCATCACCGTCACCAGTACCAACACCATCAGCATCATCATCACCATCATCACCATCATCATCCTCACCATCATCCTCATCATCATCATCAGCATCATCATCATCCGCATTATCATCATCCTCATCAGCATCACCACCACCACCACCATCATCAGCATCAGCATCAGCATCCTTAGCATCATCATCAGATTGGTAATGATCGAATGCATCATCATGATCACCAGCATCATCATCATCATCATCATCATCAGCATCATCACCATCACCATCACCATCACCATCACCATCACCATCATCACCACCATCATCACCACCATCATCATCAGCAGAAGCAGCAGCAGCAACAGCAGCAGCATCATCATAATCACCATCACCGCCATCGTTATCCTCATCCGCACCACCGTCGTCCTGGCAGTCGACATCGCCATCGCCACCGCAACTCTGCTCCAAAGGACGCCATCCGCATCACCACCACCACCACCACCACCATCACCATCACCATCGACATCGCAGGGCTGAACCCAAACGGTGTTTTTCGTTCTCGTTTTGTTTCCGTTTTTCCCTCGTTTTGTCTTCAATCCACCTCTGCCGCATACCGAAGTCGAAACGAAGACGACCCACGAAATCGCCAAAACACCGCTTAGGCCCAGCACTGCGAGATCGACATCGACCATCCCCATCGCCGTCACCATCACCGGCACCATCCGCATCATGGCCATGGTGACCACCATCACCATCGACATCGACACCGCCGGCGCCAAGGAGACCCGCCAGGGCTGCACGGGGCCGGCCCCGCGCCACCTCGGCCCGCCCGCCCGCCGTGGCGGGCCGCGTCGGAGCGGGCCCACGTGAGAGGAACGAGGGGGGGGGCAGGGCCCGTGAGAGGAGGAGGAGGAGGAGGAGGAGGAGGAGGAGGCGGAGGAGGAGGAGGAGGAGGAGGAGGCGGAGGAGGAGGAGGAGGAGGAGGAGGAGGAGGAGGAGTGAGGAGGGAGGAGGAGGAGGAGCTCTCCCGCCGCCCTTGGTGGGAGCGTTGAAGGGAGGCGGGTACGACGCTCAGGGAGGGGGGGGGGAACATCGGGCTGCAATCGGCGACAGGCCCACGACAGATCGGCGAGAGGCCCCCGATGACGAAACCTCACGTTCCTGGGCAGGATGGGCCATTGGGCCCCCATCGGCGATGGATGGGCCAGGGGGGATCCATGCGCCCCCCATTGAGCCTGTCTAGGGGGCCACATGCGAACCCTACTCCTACCCCCCACGATTTCTGAGGGGGAGGGTGGGGTTCACTTTGTTCGGGAGCTCCCGAGAAGTGAACCCCACCCTCCCCCTCAAAGTAGTGGGGGGTAGGGGTAGGGTTCGCATGTGGCCCCCCACTGTCCCTGACCTCACTCCCCAAACGTATGGGGTATCCATGCCCCCCCAAACGCTGCCCCTGACCTCACTCCCCTCTTCGACGCCTGGTTTGTTTTCGGGTCAGAACTCGGGCCTCCAACGGCCGTTCGAGACGAGCTGGGCACCCCCAGAACGCCCTCGACGACGCGCAGCTGTCAGAGAGCATCTGGAGGCTGGAAAGCCACCGAGAAAGGACGAAGACGTCCGAACCGTCATCAAACCATCTCCTTCGGGTCATGACTCGGCTCTCCGGCGGGCGTTCGGGACGGTCTGGGCAGCCAGGTAAGGCTGCCAGCGAGACGCACAGCTGTTGAAGGCAGCCCGAGGCTGGAGAACCTCCTTCTACCAACAAAATCGCCTGGCAACCTCGAACCTCGAACCCCTTTCGTCTCCATCCGCCCTGAGCCAATCCTCGAACCCTCGATCCTGAAGTCCTCGAGCCCTTTCGTCCTCCCCGCCGTCCTAAACCATCGAGTTCTCGAGCTGTCGAGCCCGCGATCCTCCACCCTCGGAACCCCCATCCTCGAACCCTCGGACCCTCGAGCCCTCCCCTCCCTCGAGACCCTCGAGCCCCTCGAATCGCTCTCGAGCCCCATCGATCCTCGAGCCCTCTCCTGCGATCCCTGAAGCCGGCAGCGGGCCCCGCCCGCCCAAAGAGAGGGGGGGGGAGTGGGCCTGCGTCGTCAGGCCCGCGCGCCTGGCCGTGCGGTTCGCCGTGGCCATCTCCGCCTGCTCCCCGGGGGGGAAGGGGGCGAGCAAGACGAGGGCAGGATTCAATCTCCCCTCCCAAGGGCCAATTTCCCTTCCCAATGGGGGAGAAGCCTTTAGCAGGTGCATCCGCGAAGCCCAAAAAGAGAGGGGGGCGATCAAGACGAGGGCAGGATCCAATTGCCCTTCCCAAGGGCCACTTCCCCTGTCTAGGGGGGAAGAAGCCTCTAGCAGGTGCATCCGCGAAGCGCAAAAAGAGAGGGGGGGCGAGCAAGACGAGGGCAGGATTCAAGCTCCCCTCCCAAGGGCCAATTTCCCTTCCCGATGGGGGAGGGAAGACGTTAGCAGGTGCATCCGCGAAGCCCAAAAAGAGAGGGGGGGCGATCAAGACGAGGGCAGGATTCAGTCTCCATTCCCGAGGGCCAATTTGGAGGACGCATCGGGCGCCGCGGCCGTCCCGGAGCGCTCCTCCTCCTCCTCCTCCTCCTCCTCCTCCTCCTCCTCCTCCTCCGCCGCCGGGCGCTCTGGAGCGAGTCAGCCTCATCCTGGGCCTGCCTGAGAGGAGAAGGCCCACACGCTTCTGAGGGCGAGGCCGACGGACAGGCGCATGCCCGAGGATCAACGACGTGACGTGGAGGATCACAGACGTGACGTGGAGGATCAACGACGTGACGTGGAGGGGCGAGACGGTGTCGCTTCGCGCTGAGGAGGCTAAAGCGCGAGCCACCCTAAGCTTAGGTCGGGCATGTCACCCTACAGGCGGATATTGAACGAACCAAAAATCCAAAACAATGCATAACAATTACATAACAAATTGAAACATCGTCCACAGACTATTGTTTGACTATGTTTGTAAACTCCTCCTGTGGAGGGACAGGCCCGACTTAACCCTAAGCAGACCCTGCTTACACAATGGGCAGGATGCTCGGGGCGAGGCGAGCGAGCGAGCGCATCAGGAGGGAGCACAAGGGGACGAGAGCAGAATGAGGGAGAGGGGGCGGAGGATCGAGGCAGATCGTTCCTCCTCCTCCTTCTCCTCCTCCTCTCCTTCTCCTTCCAAATGACTTCTCCCTGTCGCACCCCGAAGCCAGTTTTCAGGGCGGGCCGGGCGTTTCGCCTGAGACATCCTCACCATTTATGACTCTGGAGCTAAAAAAGTGATAACAGCTTCACAGATAAAGGGCGGGTCGTTGTCGAAATGTGGTTCTCGCCTTAGCGCCGCGCACATTCGTTTTCAAATTTGCAAGGGCTTCACGGAGTGAGGTCGGGTCGTTTTCAAAATGTGGCTCTCGCCTTAGCGCCGCGTATATTCGTTTTCAAAGTTTGCAAGAGCTTTACGGATTGAGGGTGGATCGTTTTCAAAATGCGGCTCTCACCTCAGAACCGCGCACATTCGCTTACAAAAAAATCAAGGGCTTCACGGATTGAGAGCGGCTCCTTTTCGAAATGTGGCTCTCACCTTAGCGCCGCGCACATATTTCTCACGGCTTGCAAGAGCTCCACGGATTCCCACGATCAACGTACCAGATATGATGTTTTAGAAGGATTCAGGATTACGCGGGCGCAGCAGTTATGTTGATTCGCAGTGTCGAAGTCCCAAAAAATAGCGTTCTGGTGCGATTCCCGATCGTCAAGACGCAGCAGTCAGGTTGATGCGTGGCGCTGACATCCCGAGAACAACGCTTCGGCACGCTTCAGAATCTTCAACGATTGCCTTCCCCTCAATGGAAATCAACCGTTGTAAGGGGCCTATGAAGAGGGAGCTTGGAGGGAGGGTAAATTCCAACATCGTTGATGACTCTTGGGTTGCACTGGTCCTCCTCCTCCTCCCTCCCTCACTCCCTCCCTCCTCCATCCCTCCCCCCGTCCTCCTCCATCCCCATACCTCCCTCCTCCCTGCTCCTTCCTCTCCCTCCCTCCTCCTCCCTCTTCCTCCCTCGACCTCCCTCTTTCTCCATCCTGCCTCCTCCCTCCTACTCCTTGCTCCTCCTTTCTCCTCCCCCCTCCATCCTCCCTCCTCCCTCCGCCCTCCTCCCTCCTCCCTCCCCCCTCCTCCTCCCTCATCCTCCCTCCTCCTCCCTCCTCCCTCCTCCCTCATCGTTCCTCCCTCCTCCCTCCTTCCTGTTCCCTGCTCCCTTCTCCCTCCTCCCTCCTCCCCCCTCCATACTCCCTCATCCCATTCCCCCATCCTCCCCTCCTCCTCTCATACCCTGCCTCCCTCCTCCTTCTTCCTCCCTCCCCCCTCCCTCCCTCCCTCCCTCTCCTCCCGGCGCCCTCGTCTCCCTCCCCTCCCATCCCGCCCTCCCTCCTTCCCTCCCTTCCCCGATCCCTTCGCTCCTCCCTTCTCCTCCTCCGCTCTGCTCCTTCCCTTTTTCCTCCTCCTCCTCCTCCTCCTCTCATCTCCTCTCCTCTCTACCTACCTCGCTCCTCCTCCCTCCTCTCCCCATCCCTCGCTCCTCTCTCCTCCTCCTCCTCCTCACCTCCTCTCCCTCCTCCCTCGCTCCTCCTCCCTCCTCCCTCCCTCCTCCTCTCCTCCTCCTCGCCTGCTTTATCCTCCTTCCCTCATCCTCTTCCGTCCTCCCTCCTCCTATTATTTCCTCCTTCTTCCATCCCTTCCTCGCTCCTCGTACCTCTTCTCTTCCTCCTCGCATCCTCCCTCCTCTTCCTCTCCTTCCTCCGCTCCTCTTCCTCCCTCCTCCTCCTCCTCCTCCTCCTCCTCCTCCTCCTCCTCCTCCTCCTCCTCCTCCTCCTCGTTATCCTCCTTCTCTTACTCCTCTGGTTCTCTCGTGTGGTGTACGCTATGTACTCGGTTTTGTTTCCGAAGCTTGGTTGATGTACATAGTCATTGCTCCAGGATGGTTGGGTTGGTGGTTGTTATGGTGTGGATCTTGGAGTGAACTTCCTCTGTGGTCTTGGAGCGTGAGGTTGCTGTGCCCAGTAGGGTGTAGCCGTCGCTGTTTGCTGGTGTGCGTGCCTTTTTGCTGCTGGTATGGTAGTGGTGCTGCGCGGGTCGGATCACCGTAGCAGCGCGCGTGCTGCTGCAGGCTGTTCCCTCTCCCTGCGGTGCCAGGCAGGGTTGAGGGAAGACGACGGAGCCGTGGTGCTGCTGCTTGCAAAATGCTGCAACGCGGGTGGGGTCGCTGGCCAAAACGGCCTTGCAAGCGGTGCTCGTGGTGCGGCGTAGGTGACTGGGCGTCGATGCTGTCGTGAATGTGGCGAGGTCGGAGGCTCACCCATATCGTAACTTCCCGTCGACGCTGCCCTGGATGTAGTGAGGTCGACGATTTCACCACGGCAGTACCTGTGCCCAGGAGGTCCTGGCAGTGGAGTGCACCAGGTATAGGATAGAGATGTGAAGAAATGTATCGTATGGGGATACTGGCGGTACGAGGTATGCCGTGGCCGACCTGGTGTCGGTCTGCGCACTGCTCTCGACTCGCCCCAAACTCTTGGGCGGTCAAAGGTTTCCTCTTGAGGGAGCCCGGGTCCGTCCTGCAGGCTCTCCGAGGAGGGAGCGGGGGGGGGGGTGACCCCAATCCCTGACGTTGCTGGATGTTCGGCTGGGCCAAGAGTTGGGGGCCAAATTCGGGGATGAACGATGGGGGGGCGCCCATCCTCGATAGCGGGTGTGTCCGAACAAACCCCCCGGGAAGTGTATCCCCGAGTCCACCTCTTCTCTAAACGGCCTGTATTCTGGGGGGGAGCAAACTCGGGTGCTGGGGATAAGATATCGCCTGCGAAGGGGGAGCTGAGAAGGAGGAAAGAGGACGGAGCCGAGGATCGAGAAAATTAGTGCTGCTCCCCAGAGGTCCAATGTCTCATTATGTCAATACGGGATCCCTGGACCTCTGGACCACTTCCAGGGATCAGGTCTCCATTCTGACTCGTTGTTGGAGAGCCCTGGGGCCAAAGGCGGGCCAACAGCGGCTTAAACAGGCCAAAAAAATCCGCCGCCTCTTCCTCCTCCTCCTCCTCCTCCTCCTCCTCCTCCTCCTCCTCCTCCTCGCATCCTCCTCCGCCGCACTTCCTCCCCATCCTCCCCCTGCCTCTCCTCCTCCTTCTCCTCCTCCGCCTTCCTCCTCGACCTCCTCTCCCTCCTCCCATCCCCCTCCCCTGCCTCTCCATCCCTCCTCACCTCCTCCTGCCTCCTCCTCCTCCTCCTCCTCCTCCTCATCTTCCTCCTCCTCCTCATCCTTAGCCTCCTCCTCATCAGCCTCCTAAATTTGCGTCAGATGTGCGTCGAACTTGAGTCGAGCTGGATTCGAGCTAGACTCGACCTGGAATCGAAGTGGAGTCGAGCAGAGCCGCTAGCAGGTGGCCCCCGGGAAGGCTCCCTAAGACGATGATCTTATAAGAGGGTAGAGGCGGAGCGAGGGTGGGTCGAAGCGCCTGCGCCCAGTCGTCCGGGTTCCCGGTCCACGGCCGGAACGTCGAGGGAAAGCTCCCGCGGCGGTCCCTGGGCTCCTCCCCGCTCGGCAAGGGGGTTAAGACGCGCTCCTCGTTCCTCCTCCTCCGTCATCACCCCTCGACCCTCTTCGATCCTCGTTAGTCCTCGATCATCTCTGATCCTCCTCCATCCTCGATCCTCGGTCGTCCTCTATCCTCGACTCCTCCTCCTCCTCCTCCTCCTCCTCCTC